TCGCTCTTAGGTTGGAGGCCATCGCTCTTAGGTTGGAGGCCATCGCTCTTAGGTTGGAGGCCGTCGCTCTTAGGTTGGAGGCCATCGCTCTTAGGTTGGAGGCCATCGCTCTTAGGTTGGAGGCCACCGCTCTTAGGTTGGAGGCCGTCGCTCCTAGGTTGGAGGCCGTCGCTCTTAGGTTGGAGGCCGTTGTTCTTAGGTTGGAGGCCATCGCTCTTAGGTTGGAGGCCATCGCTCTTAGGTTGGAGGCCATCGCTCTTAGGTTGGAGGCCGTCGCTCGGTTGGAGGCCATCGCTCTTAGGTTGGAGGCCGTCGCTCTTAGGTTGGAGGCCGTCGCTCTTAGGTTGGAGGCCACCGCTCTTAGGTTGGAGGCCATCGCTCTTAGGTTGGAGGCCATCGCTCGTAGGTTGGAGGCCATCGCTCTTAGGTTGGAGGCCGTCGCTCTTAGGTTGGAGGCCGTCGCTCTTAGGTTGGAGGCCATCGCTCTTAGGTTGGAGGCCGTCGCTCGGTTGGAGGCCATCGCTCTTAGGTTGGAGGCCGTCGCTCTTAAGTTGGAGGCCGTCCCTCTTAGGTTGGAGGCCATCGCTCTGAGGTTGGAGGCCATTGCTATTAGGTTGGAGTCCATCGCCAGTTGGTTGGAGGCCATCGCTATTAGGTTGGAGGCCATCGCTCTTGGGTTGGTCCTGTTTTGTCAGGTCTTGGGATAGTCGTACGATCAAAGCACTTCATAAAGCTCATCGATACTGCACAGTTTGACTTTGCACAACTCAGGGCCGAATCAAATGATCAATGATCTACCTGCCAGCCCTTCTCTATGAGCTCTGACCCAATGTTTCCACAACCAGTCCTGTGTTCCTTTAAACTTTAAAACATATAATTGGGATGGACCATCACTCATTCGTCTCTTTTTTTCCACTGAACAATCCGCTTTTTGTGATGTGAACCTCTGGCTTTTTTGTATGAATGAGGAACCATCATTCCCAAGCGCCGCAGGCCCCAGTCAATGTCGAGGCACCGTGATCGATCGGTTCGAAAGCTCAGGCGGATCGCTGAGTGGCGTCGAAAAGCGATGACCGCATGGACCAAAGGAGCCACAGCGCAGGGAAGTTGGACACCTTTGGGAGATCCGAATCCCCGTCGGGAGATCCGAGAAAGGGCCGGCCTAAGAGTATTGAGCCTCAAAGAGTTGATTTTTTCTTCAGCTGGGAGATCCGAGAAAAACGCCAGACGTCGTGTCACCTCGGCGATGAACACGCAACAACCAGGAGACTCATACTGTGATGTGTTCCTTTGATTGTCTGGCTCAGTGCCCAGGTGATGCACCTATCGATTGTTAGGGCTGTCTCCGAATGTTGCCACTGATGGCAGGCATTGAATGCAAGGTTTAGATAGGCAAGCAAACGATTCAGCTGCACCATTTCAGGAAAAACCATGACATGAGGTCTATACTTACACCGACATCATCCCTTGCACACCCCTCAAAAGACTCGTGGCCCACTTCGCATTGTTGAATTGGTGAGCCCACCAAGTAAAGATTGATCACAGGGGTCGTCCTGAAATGTCCTGATCCACTATTGTTCCTGGAAAACTCTGAAGGCCATTCAACAATGCACGGGTAGGTGTTTCTATTTTTTTTTCGTGCTTGGAAAGTTGAGTTTGCCTCTTAACTTCTAAACAAATTGGCTGTTTTTCTTGTTTGTTTTTGCCCGCTACTACTTAAATAAGTAGGCGCCTACTTAATTAAGCAAGGGGGGCAAGCTACTAGGTACTTAGGCTACTAGTATGGACGCAGGATAGCTGACGCTTCTTCAAGGAAGCCTTCCCCGCCCTCAGGCCCGGGGAGCTTCCTTGAAGATGCGCTCGCACTAAGGATTTGCTTCCTAGATTTTTGGGGAACCTTAAGTTCTTGAACCCTATTGGACACTATTGTCCGGCTTGCTCAGACGTGGCGACACCGGTTGGCACCCTGTACAAACAAATACCTCAGAGGTTCACAAAAATGAATGTCCACAAACCGGCTGATTTATTATTCTAAATGGAAAGCAATGAAACAGAATCCATTCCATGGTTGGATGGATGATAAATAGATATATTGTAAGTAATGTGGCCACTCAACATGCACTATATAGTTGGACTGGGTGGTACAACCGCACTAGCTGTCGGCTCAGCAGCGCAGCAGGTGTAGCATTGAAGCTGTGAAGACGATTGTTATAAGGGGTCACGGGGTCATGGAATTTCAAGTGTTAAGGGTTCAGAAACAGAATTATTTTTGAGATTGGATTGTTTGCATGGCCATTGCGATCCTAGAACCCGAGAACGGGCTTGTTTGAGTGTTCTTTCAGCCACTGTGCTGGTAGAGGCCCAGCCGAGTCCTTGACGTCAGTGCATCGCCTAAAGGAACCGTGCTGAAGCGCCCACCACGCGCCAAAGTGCGCCCAGCCATGTTCGATTGCATGAACCATACAAATGGCCAGCCGACACCTGGCCTGTTCATTTCTGGACAGCATGGACCAGCATGGACTTACGATGACTTACGTGTTTCGGAGGAATGCCCTTTGAGTCCCAGTCCAACGGTTTCCCAATCAACGGCCTCACCAAATGACAGAATGGACCCGAATGACTGAGTGTACCAGATCGTGAAACACCGGAACCATTTGTATACGTCACATGGGGTGACCAAAGGAAACAGACAGGGTCAACAGACATTCTCACATTTCTCAAATCTTCCACGGAGTATGTCAACGCTCTGGAGGGATTGTCCAGCACTCCCCCTGTTGAAGTTGATTGCCTAACAGCATCATTCGTCCTCCACCTCATGAGCTTTGCACAAGGCGCACGAGGTAGAAACCGGGAGTCCCTTGACATGTATTCAGATCAGATGTATGGGTAATGCTTTCTTGCGAGTCGACCTTTGTTCGACCCGCTCACCGAGGCGCAAATGGTCTGGACTCAGTCCGGATCAGTTGCTGCAGGATCTGGCACCTTTGGAGCACAGGGATCGGAGGAATTGGGGAACAGCTTGCTGTGGCTGTTTCTTTTCCTGGTACTTTTTGGGGGTATCGAGCACCACCTTTAGAAGATCCAGTTTGGCTCTTGATGCGCCTCCAAAGCAACAATCATTCCGTACTTTTGGGCACTGCGGACGAGCCAAGCGGCATCTTGCTCCTCCGGTGGTTCTTGAGGTCCAGCAAATGGACACCTTCCTGGAAGAGAGCCAGCGGAGCAAAGAGCTTGCGAACATGCAGGACAGCTGGTTGACTGGAAGTTGTAGTGACATTAGTTTGGCATCTACCTGTATTGCTGGATCCAACATGTTGGACCATGTTGGACCCACTCACAGGACTTTTCTGAGAATCCTCGGAATCCATTCTACTTTGCGAAGCCGTCTTTCCGGCTTCGCAAAAGGAAACAGATCGACGAGGCACTTTTGACAAAGCGAGAGAATGAATTCGTGTCTCCGGTGCCGCTGAACTTGAGTCCAAAGGGGCCCCCTCTGTCTCCATGAACACTGCCCGACATGGAAAGACAGGGAGAAAGTACCAGACTGGGGGAAATTGGGGAGCTGCTTGCAGGTAGGTACACCTGGAACCCCTGCATGGAAACCATTCAAGGTTATGCATCATACATACGAAACCGTAGCGTTTTTATGTGTTGTCGAGATAGGACTTCTGCAAATGAGATCAGCCAACAAGCATGCACCGACCGTATCCCTGCAAGGTCGGGGTGTGTGTATATACTAGAATCTAGAATCAGATCCAAGAAAGACTCTCCCGATATTTTTCAGAGACCAATTGAAGTGACCCACAACCACACGTTCGACCAATGCAGTTGTGTCAGGAGTCGTTGTGCCAACAGATGCAAGCCTCTCTGAAGTCTTTGATGACCCCTGTGGTGGCTTGGTTAGCGGGTTGATGGTGAATTACGGCGAACTCCAGGGATTGTCTAGCTTCGTTTCGTCCACGAACTAAGGTCTTGGTTAGACCTTAGGGACTGGGCGCACTGGGCGCAAACGCGTTTGGTCGGCGCTGGCAGCACCAGTTCGAAACGGATCATCCAGTTGCAGAGGTTTGTCCCCCGACCAACGAAAAGCACGACGAACGGAAAGTTACGCCTGGAAAAGCCGATGGAATGCTGGTTGAGTCTTCCGACAAAAGACCTCCTACCTACTCGGCACCAATTTTTGCAGACATTTTTCAGCGAAAAGACGCTAGTAATATCTATAGTAATCAAAAACAATGCCGTTTTTGGGGTTGCAACCATCCATGGACGGGGCACCGTTTGGACGCGGTTCTTTTCGGTTTCTGCCGGTTTCCGCCTGATCGCAACAAAAAGCGCCATCTTTGGAAAAAGACGCCGTAACGGCATTTGTTCTTGAACGGCAATTATTTGCGCCGTTTCGAATATCCAGGCACAAGTGTTGAGGTTCATTGTGGTTGACTACTTGTTCAGTTCATTGGGGTGATACGATCAATACGATCATACTGGGCCTGGGTCATTCTGTTTGATTCGAACATTTTCAGGGCTGAGAAGACGTAGAACAGCGTAATGACGTGACCCAATCGGCCCAAGGAAGTCACTGTCAGGGACAGGGAGTCTGAAGTCTGGGCAGACGACGACGAAAACCATGGAGAGGCGCCCTCGATGGCTGCGAAGTGGCCAAGAACTTAAGGAGTAGGGAATCAAACAGCAAGTCGTCCTTCACCAATGGATCATCGATGTTCAGATGTATGTAATTATCATACAAATTAAATCCCAAAACCAGGTTGTTGCACAGGTTCTTTAAACATGATGGAAACGGGGGAGATTGGAACGCGAGTCGAGTGCAAGAGGTGAAGAGAATGTTCAGAGCTCGCATGTTCCAGCTGTCGGGGGTTGGGCAATGGCCTACATCTGTCTTCCTATCACGACTAATGCTGACCGATGCGAGGATGAGAGGCAGCAGGTTCTGCAAACCGGTTCGCCGCATTGGATCGGTCCGAAGTCCAGAGGACTCCCATGAGGCTTCAGTAGTTCAGTACTGGGGTGATTGTCCCATGAAGTGAGTTTCAGTAGCTGCTTTTATCGTATGCCGAAGTCAGTGATTTGCATGGCCCAGAGGTTTCGCCTGGTCATTCTCCAGATTCCTTCACCCAAGAGAGGGACACATCACATTCTCTCTTGACATGTGCAGGTCCCCAACGAGAGGGGTCAAAGTACTCAGGCTGGCGGTGTTGAGGGAGTGGAAGGCACGACAATCTGGACATTGAATGGGTGTGTCTCGATGTGCTGACTCCCAATTCATGAATTCTTTGACTCAATAGTGCTTTTGCTTGTTTAGTCAGATGTGTGGAGTGAATGGACCAGCCCCTGTTGGATCACTGTACGGGGAAGGCACCACAGTTTGGGAAGGTTTTTCCATACCAATCCAAGAGCAAACATAGAATCTGACAGACCACTCGTGATGCAACAGTGCAACCTCAATTTGGATCAATTTGGAGGGGTACAAACTAGATTCACTTGTCTACAGAATGATTAAGAACGTTACTCATGGTGTTTCCCGGAGCACCTGCGAAGGGTTCTCCGTAAAGAATGGCTGCCAACTTCAACTGGCATCGTCGTCGTCGTCGTCGTCGGCGGCGGCGTCGGCGTCGGCGTCGGCGTCGGCGTCGGCGTCGGCGTCGGCGTGCAGAGATGCAGGTGATGCAGGTGATGCAACTGCTAGAACACACTAAACATGTGGGGTGTTGAGGTGCAGGTGTGAGATGTGGGTGTTAAGGTACATGTGAAGGCACCAGCAAAACTAACCTACACAACTACAACTTCGACAATTTTGGCTCGGTGGAAAGAGTGTTTACGTGCTCTATGCCATTGCCAAGCCAAAGTCATGTGCGTATAAGCCCGATCTGCCGCTGGTGAGCGGGAAATACTTGTGGTGTTGACGAGGCTTGGTGTTACATTGTGCTTAGCCCGTTGTGTCCAGTGTGGCGAAAGTTTGTGTTGCCGTGCCACGTGGCTCCCTACGGTTGTTCCAAAGGCTTGGCGTTGCACTGTTTAGTGTGCGGCGCAGTGTTTCGAAACTACGAGATGGATTTGTGTGGGCTCAGTGGGAAGTGTGTTTGCGTGGCTCCGTGCCATTGAGAGTCGCGAATCATGCGTGTTGAAAGCACGGTGACTCATTGCTCCAACAGACCGGTGGGCGGAAGTGTCCCCGTGTGCATGTCCCCATGATTTTGTCACAGACTAGCGAACTGAAGCCTCAACGTTCCCTTGCCCAATTTTCCGATTCCTGCCTCCACTGTCACAGACTAGCAACCTGAGCAGGCATAGCCCTGACAGTGAGGCGGCAACGAGCTGCAGCTGCTCTGACGGGCTGCGCAGATGTTTGCACATGTTACGCCTTCACCAGTGAAATTTCGGGAAAGATCCGTGAAAGCTTCGCGAATGTGCCGTTAAAGTCCTGGCTCCCAGCTTGAGGCCCTCCAACATTCCCCAAGCTGCGTCACCCTGCGAGGATTGGGTTGAGTTGTGCCTGGTATATATTCTAAGCCTCCGCCAGGACTTAGGATACTGTTTGCTGCATAGATATCGCGCAGATGCTGCAAGTAGCTGTGGAAACTCTCAACCTTCTGCTGGGGGTCATGCTGCAAGATGCCAGTCCCTATTTCGTGATACAAACATGAATAGCTCCGTCTCATGTTAGCTGGACATGGTTGTAGGACCATGCTTCGCGATGAGGCCGCGAAAGATCCGTAAAAGATATGTTTTGCTGCGAAGAATGGCCATCCCAAGATGAAAGAATAATGATCAACCACCATGTGTTTTCGTTCCGGGGTTAGGTGCTTGACTTTCTCAATGGAACTCTTCGTGTTCGCTTTGTCTCTGCGGTGGAGCTGCAAAGTCGTGTTCTACGGGGCAGGCCACTTCCAAAAAGACGACACATAACCTTCACAATCAACACATTCAAGTCATCGTCGTGGTCGCCCCTCATGATTCATCATCATGATCATCATCAGCGTTATCATCATTAACACCATCATCATCGTCATCACCGCGTGTTAAGACAACATTGAGTGAGTGATTGCAAGAAACATGAAAATAACGTGTCCGTAGAGATCTAGGATTAATGTTTTGCAGTGTTTTATCATGTTTGGTCCGCTATGCCAATCTTACTCCTACAGTGCTTTCGGGCCACCTCGTCGTTTAGTTCCATGAGGTGTTCGTTCTTTCATCCCTGTTGTTCTGGATCGTCCGGCAGGAGCTGATGATCACCTACAACCCCGACGCGGATGGTTTGTTGCCCGTCAACTCGCCGGTCACATCCTTGCCCGTGCGCCTTGGACAGAGCCTGGTGACAGGAGAAGTCTGAAAACGGGACGATTTCCGCACTTTTTCTTTGCAAACAAGTGGAGAAGGCATATTCTGCCAAGGACTTGAGGGTCATGATAACCAGATTGAACATATGGGTTTAGTTTCTTGTTGAGTCACTTGGGGTGGCGAAGGTGGCAGGTCATGTCATTCGTTGCCCTCCACACTCCACACTTCAAAACATGAAAAACACTAGGGTACTTGGTCTACCCTGCAATCCCAGTTCGAGGTTTTCGATGTTCAAAAACCAGACTTGGACATTGCACAAAACTTTGGACTTGCAAGTCACTATAACTGCAAAGCCCTGCCCGTAAAAACATTGGTATGTTGGGTCATCACACATCCAACACCGGGCCCCCAAATATACTTCGACTTGTTCTCATTAAAACCGCCTAGAAGAATCCTGCAGTTCCAAAGGATCCCGTGCATCCACGTGGGATTGATCCAAACCACTTTTCTAGTTTCCACATTGACACTACGCAGATGACCATCTCAGCTGCGACTCTCAAGTATATAACTGCGGTTTGCCCAAGGCATGATACCCAGAAGATCCCCAACATGCACCTACCGTATCCCAATGGACTGGCCGGCGTTGCCAAGTCAGAGGAACAAAAAACTCCAAGTTTCAAGGAACGTTCTTAGACAACTTGAACCATTCTGATGTAGGGAATAAGGACAAAAGGTATATTGTATCGCTTGTCCGGCTCCAAACGGAGTCGTGTGGCCATTCTGCTCGAAGGTCGGGCTTTCAGGCGCCAGTTGGGACCGGTTGGGACTCGCAAGGCTTGACCAACCGACAAGCTACGAACGGAGCAAAGGGCATCGCTGCTCCTACTAGTAGCTGCTGGCCTTACTACTAGTAACAAGAACGCTTCTAGTCTAGTAGCAAATGAGCTACTAATAGCGATGCCCAAAGCGACTTACATCTCCCAGTCAACCGCTGATGGCGGAGGGACACATTTGAATGCAAGAAGTCCATGTTGCACTTGGATGGGTGGCGGTCTTTTTTTATCTTTGGCTTTAGCCGGGTTTGGGAGTCGTTGAGAAGACGAGCTAAGGCATTGACATCTAGGGTGAGGAACCTTTGTGAATGGTCGCGAGTTCCAAGCAAAAATGACGCCTCCGGAGACGCCTTCCTAGACTGTTAAGCTTGACACCAGTGTCATTGGTCAAATATGTTTCTTAGAGCGAGCTATGGTTGAACCGTTATACCGGCTATACAACGAGTAGCGCTTACATGCTACTATACAGACCACATGTACCGCTTCAACAACCCCTTAGGTTGTTGATCCCCTTGGCACAACCGGTGCTTCACCGGAGGTTGGAAGCGAGTTCACCGATGAGTCTGATCTCAGCATGGACTGGTTGGGGCTCGGGGAACAGCGGACCTTGAAGGCGAGTGCATAACTGGCGTTTTGCAGCTCACTTTGCTGTGCGGGCACCGTTGGCACCCTCCCTAAAACACACCTGAACAGACATTTCAGAGTCGATTCATCAGAATTGGAGGAAGATTTGTTCTGAAAGGCAGATCTGATGCGCCCAAGAGTGACTGTGTGTGCAGGCTTCACAGAGCTTAAGGATGAAGCAACACTCTGAACGTATGCAGAAGGGAATGGCGCAACTCGGCATTGGTTGGAGCTAAAGACTGAAAGAGGCCATACAGCTCAGTGTCGACCCACCCATATCTTCATGGTCAAGGTAGAGATCTCACTGCGATCTTTGAGCACCTCCTGACTCGGTGGGTTGCTGGATGAAACTTTTGTGACCGGATCACTCGTAGTTTGTGACAGACATTCCGATTCTAAAGTAGCTGGATATGTTTGACATGTTATAGAAACCCTGAACTGAATTATGAAACAAACGCTATTGCGGATGCATCTCCAAATGCTTCATCCCCAATTTTTTCCTCATGTTTTTGACTCGAGAATTTGAAGCGTTTCTCAGGGTTGCCTTTGGTCCTTTTTCTCCAGGCAATGGAGCCTGAACCGACTTGCTCGGGCGATGAGTGCCGTTGAAGCTCGGGGTGATTGGGGGACGGAACTGGGCAAACCTGGTGAAACATCCCTGATCTACATACCATGGCCATCCATGGCCATGGTCACTATAAAGGTGTGGTCTTCGCGGGTTCTCCATAATAACGTACTGAACATACATATAATATGACTGATTCATGTTGATCCTGCACTAGCCAAATGACACACATACACAATTTTATGATGAATTCAGATACCCTGGCGAATGTGTGTGACCCCTCCCATGTGCTCACCGAAACATCCGAAACTCTTAGGACGCGCATCCAATTCCCTGGCCACCGTTCCAATCCCAAGTGACCTGAGTCGGTACCAAATCATCCGCCCTTGGCGGAGCCAACTCGATTTGGCGTGGGATTCGGAGACATTTGGCAGCCCCACAAAAGAGAACGCACCAGATCAAGAGAGGGTACCAAACCAGCCAGCATGAGGTACCAATTGAGGTATGAAATATTAATTTGTTGACCTGCGAAATCCCCAAGGAGTCGCTCCAGGCGATCCGCGAGCCGGTCCGCCGGGGGCGCTTGGCCAACGTGGTGTGCCTTGGCCGACAGGGACGGGTGAGTTTGGGCGATGGCCTCCAACCTAATAGCGATGCCAGGAACGATGGCCTCCACACTAGTAGAGATGGCCTCCAACCTACTAGTTAGTGATGGCCTCCAACCTACTAGCGATGGCCTCTAACCTATTAGCGATGGCCTTCAACCTACTAGCGATCGGCGATGGCCTCCAACCTATGCCCTCCAACCTAATAGGAACGGCCTCCAGTCTAATAGCGATGGCCTCCAAGCGATGACTTCCAACCTACTAGCGATGGCCTCCAACCTAATAGGAATGGATTCCAACCTAATAACGATGGCCTCCACCCTATAGTAGCGATGTCCTCCAACTTACTACTAGCGATTCTCCAACCTAATAAGGTTGGCCTCCAACCTAATAGGAATGGACTCCAACCTAATAACGATGGCCTCCAACTAGCAATGGCCTCCAACCTACTAGCGATGGCCTCCATCCTAAGAGGAATTGTCTCCAACCAAGTAGCGATGGCCTCCAACCTAGTCGCGCCTATGAATTCCTAGAAACCATGACTTTGTAACTTCATAGATGAGGAAACTGCAGCGGAGATTAGCATCCTGAAGTCTTTCTGATGTGCAAATTACATCATGTTGAAGTGTGGATCCTGAAAGATTGACCAGAAACCCTTTGTCAATAATAGCGCACCAGATGGATCCCTGATCCCTTGGGTGATCCAAAGAGGGTCCGTTCAGCTGAGACAAAGCATTTACTTCAACATGTTCTCTTTGGTGGTGATCATCCTCAATAGCATCTACATCACTGCACTTGCAGACAAGGAGCTCTCGCAGCCAGGCGAGGGAGAGAGTCGTTCGTGAAAGGGACGCCGAGCAGCAAATTTTCACATCGAACGGAACCAGCGAAGACCAAGGTTGACCAAGGGAGACCAAGGGCCACGGTCTCTTCAATCATGGTGCATTCCAACACAAAAGCGACCCGTTTGATCCTTCTTCAATCTTCTTCGAAATTCGACTCTTCTCTTTCTTCGATTGAGAGATTGGAGTTCCACGTGACTTGATGACTTGATGGATCTGAAATCATGTCGCATGTCTGTGGGCAGTACTTGAGCCCCACAAACTCTAGCCACTTGGCTCACCATCATTCGCGTGTGCTCAAAACTGCTAGCATGCTACAATCCGAGGCTTAGGCCATGTCATAAACACGCCAACCGTTTCATGAAAACCTTCTATTGACCAAACCAAACCAGACCAGAAGACCTTCCCATGTACCGATCATCTCTGCCGCTTTTCGGAGGGGCCATCTGTAAACCTGCTGCAGGAGTCGCGGTGGAGCAGACCATGGCGATTGAGGTGGCCTTTTCGATTTTCTATTGCCACTTGGTAGAACTCTTGGGGGCTGAAACAGGAGTGAGTAGGGTGTGCCCATCCCACGCAAGGAACATGTGGAAATGACAACAGACAATTCTGAGTGTGGGTGCAATGTCATGGGGTTGCCCACTGGGCCCAAGCGAGATCCCTGCGAAGCACCAGTGCACCCTGAAAAACTATATAACTTGGAATTTGCAAAGGACAGTTGGACATCCGCGGACCAATGTTTGAGGTGGATGTTGACCTCCAGGGTTTTGTGTCTCTAATCCGCTGGAGCGTTTCTTTCAAGGGCAATCTTCATCTTCGCATTCTGAAAGTGTTTTCTCCAACCAGGGCTCCATCTCCGGTGGTGTAGGATGTCTTCGAATTGAGCAGTCTTGGGATTCGATGATCAAAGGCCTCGAGCTGGCGGCAAAGTTGGTGGTTCATCGCTGCTACTTCTTCTGGAACGAGGACCCGCGGGCCGAAATGGGCGAAACCACTGGATTCGACCCGCGTGGGAAACGCAAGCGAGTAGGAACCTTGAAGCCTCACCGACTTGGAAAAGAACACGAAGCATCATGAAGCAACAACGATGGCGATGGACTAGCAGGTTGGCTTCCTTGTTTCGTACGCTGCATGGTTGTTTTGTGAGGACTGGTGCTGGAATTTGCTGGATTTCTTTTTGGTTGTCGTGGTCCTCGTGGAGAAGCTTGGATCATCTTGGATAGCTTGGCTAGCGTGATCTTGGACACCACAGGGCCGAAGGCCACACGTGGACTACTGAGCTTGATCAAGCGCATAGAAGTTGAAAGCACAGCATTTGCACTTTTGGTCAAGAAACCCTTACATCATCTTACATCAACTTGCATCAGCCATCTCCAAACCCTCCAGACCAAATCTTCCCATGCTTTTGACCCGTTATTTTTCCAACCCTGTCTTCGCAAAGCCCAAACCTCAACTCATAAGCTGACCTTATCAAGTGAGCTCGACTTCGTCATTCATGTATGCAGAAACCGACCAGATTTGGAGATCCATACCGCCGCATGTCCGAGGAGCTTGATCTCCGCCGTCTCGGTGTCGGACCCCACAGGGTCCATGAACATCATGTTTGTACGCAGCTCGGCACGGAACAGCAATGGATGTAACAA